GTCTTTCATTGGGTCTGTTTTTAAGCCATTTTAAATTAAAAATGTTTGGGCTTATTATTAATTAAAAACTCGGGGTTTTTTTAATTTAAATGATTGAGCTGGTTTTAAGATAAAATTTTGGGCCGTATTTCGTTTAAAGTTAGAGCTGGTTTAAAATTAAATTATGGACTAATTAAAACCAAATCTGTTATTTGGATTTTGATAAAAATCTTGTTAGATTTGATATTTTAAAATCCCGATTAATTTCCGTTGTTAATTATTTATGTTTTTGTTCAATTATTTAATGTTTATTTAATTGTACCAACTTTTTAGTTTTATATTATGTTTAATATTTATATTGTGTAATATATGGATTGCCCTGCCGAGACCCGTGGTTGATTTATATATTTATTTTTGTCGAAAAATTATAATGTATTAATTGCATAGGTTGTAATTTTTATTTTTAATTTTCTAGATAGGACAAATGTAAATAGAATAGAATTCTGTTGTATTTATATAAATCAACGAACACGACATTCCAAAGAAGATGGAGTCCCTGGAGTTCACCAAGATGGCGAGGCCAGTGGGAGCTTGAAGACGTCATTAGTTTGACCGTGGTTGTTGTGTTGACTCACAACACCACATTAGGGGCAAATCCATATATTATCTTGTGGTTGTTTATTTTGTGTGTTTTTATTTGTTTATTGCTTTTATTATTTCTATGATAATTGCAAAACGTTTTAAAAATCAAATGCAAAACAATTTCAAATCGGTAATTAAAATATGATATTTTAAAATGATAATGTTTATGAAAAATCAAACCGATTTTTATGGGTAAACTTTTAAAACAAAAGGATTTTAATTTTAGAGATAAAATCAAACGTTTTAAAAGTAATTAGAAAATGTTTTTCTAAAATTTAAACCTTTCTAAAACGTAAACTAAATGCCACCCATTTAAGGTTTTTGTCAAGTCTTATAGATTCCAGTGTGATTAGTGTCTGGCCTGTCATATCGGATGATAGTAGTGTGAGACAAGGTGCCGACACTACGAGATTCAAGTAAAAGTTGCACTTTGCCACTCACTTGAATAGTCGTGTTTTGGACGACTGATCCCATTAAACCTGAATTGAGAAATTAGGTGGGATCACGATACCTTACTATGGTCAGTTTACTTAAAAATATCATAGTATGTGAATTGACCTTCTATAAGTATTTTTAAGGCGTTGAAGTGAGATTAAACGTGTCCATTTGATATATGATATATTAAATAGAATATCACGATCACCTAAGAGTTATGTTGAACATGATTGGATAATTCCTACCTAAATAACTTATTTCTCATATAGTGCATTACCATTTGAAGAAATAGATGAAATATGGATCTTAGCTCAAATAAAATTGATTTTTGAAAGGTTAATTTATTTAATTTGAGATTTTAAAAATCAGACTAAAATCGAACTTGCATATTGTAGATGTCTGCATCCACTCCAAACCCAGACTCAGCCACAAACAACTTGTCCCAATTTGCACTCCAGTCTGTCATTGAAAAAGAAAAGCTGAACGGGATGAACTTCCTCAAATGGTTTTGCTTCTTAAGGGTTGTCCTTAAGCATGAAAAGAAGCTCTACGTTCTAGAAAACCCCCTCCAAACGCTCATGCTAGAACTGCATCCGCTAAAGTCAGGGGTGCCTCTGAAAGACATCAAAATGACTCACTGGATGTGGCATATCTCATGCTTGCTACTATGACTCCTGAGTTATTGAGGGATCATAAGGGCATAACTACTTGGGAAATAATTTCTTCATTGAAATCTATGTTCCAACAACAAGCCAGGCAAGAGAGGTTTGACACAATCAGGGCATTGCATGCCTGTATGATGACCGAGGGTTCACCAGTCAGTACTCACATCTTAAGAATGAAAGGGTATGTTGACCGATTAACCCGTCTTGATTTCACACTAAACAAGGAATTGACAATCGACTTGGTTCTCAATTCCTTGCCTAAATCATATGACCAGTTTGTTATGAACTATAATATGAACGGTTTAGAAAAGTCTCTCACAGAGCTTCACGACATGCTTATAACTGTTGAGAGAAGTATTCCCAAGTTGAAAACCCCTAAACCAAAACAGGTCTTGATAATCAAGCCTAAAGGTGGGATAACTAAGAAAAGGAAGGGGGTAGCCAAGAGTAAAACTAAAGTTGGAAGATCCAACAAAAACAAGGGCAAAGGAAAGATTTATGATGATG